CAACGATTAGCAGTATTTTCTTTGACTCAAAGCATGCATGGCACTCAAAATGATCTTAGCTATGATCAGTTGCTACGGATCCAAGTTCTACGAATACTATTTGTAAATTATCAAGTCCTACGCACCACCACATGAAACATACCATCCTACAAGTATAATCGACTCACCACCGGTGTCGCCTGGTTTTCACAGTCACACGGACACTGCGGAGATCAGTCACACGGACACTGCGGAGATGAGCGGAGATCTCCGCCCGGAACACCGCGGACCGGGCGGCGGCCGGGGTGCAGCTCACGCAAAAACATCGCAAAAGACTCATCAACCACACGATAGGAATTGAAAACGAACTTAGAAAGTGAAATGAATTCTGTATCGTCTAAATTATCAATCTGTTTTGGCAACAGCTAACCGATATCCTGTTCTTTCGCCTTACGAATGTCAGGCAAAGAAAGCTATGACAAACTGAAGATCTATCGCAAGCGAAAGAATCTGACTTTGAAATGAAATCCCGGCGAGCACCAAACCAAACGCTGCGCTCGCGCCAACCGTATAGTCCGCGCGCGCCACAGCCCGTGGACGGCACAGGCGCGGCTGTGTGGACCGGGCGGGGACGGCCGGCGGCGCCGCCGCAGAGGGCAGAAACGCGACTCAGCAGCCAAACAGGCAGATTATTGCATTATCATCGAACACATGCTAATTAAAGATCAAAGCAATTCGATCGAACACATCAAACTAATTAAAAAAGGCCATTCTGTGAAATATATGCGTTTTATGAGGCAAACTATATTTAGGTGTGTACTGAATAATCTTAAAATACCACTTTGTAGTAGCATGAATTGCCCAAAACAAACACTGGTATGATTCGTTTCCATCTTTTGTTCAGCTGTGAAAAGTTCTAAAGAAGTAAGACACACATGAAATTTCGCCTTTTTCCTATCAACTTCCTTCAAAACATGATAATATCAAGATCCCTCATTTCTACATAAAAAGAAATATCGACTTACTGCCATGTCAACGCAACACGGCATGCTAAAAATAACAAACTCATCATTTGATGTTCAAAAACCGCAAAACATCAAAGCTTTCACGCCCTTCGCTAATAATTCAATCTCTCGACATTTCTGGGACACCAGTCGCGTTTCTGCCCTCCGCCGGCGGCTCCGCACCCACGTACACAGACGAGGCGAGCACACGATATGTTGGTATTCTCGGACCGCTCCGGGCCTCACGAGCCGACACTGCCCGCGCGCAGTCAGCGGCACCGCTGACTTGTGTCAAATTCACTCCCGCGTGAAACTACGTCTGCTTTTTACTTGTCATAGTGATGTGATGTGTGTAAACGAGTATGAACCTTGAAAAAATTGGGCTGTGTTGAACGCAGCATGAACATGATAAAAATTGATCATCCTTTTTTAGTGTTTTAGCCACCCACGAAATGCTGATGTTACTAAGTTTGTATTTCCTATTTTATACATTAATCGCGTTTAAACCTAGTCTTCACGGCCTACGTTACTTAGCATCTTTGAAGTCGCAGGAATAAGAGCAGGACGGAGAGAGAAGGACGAGACATGATTACGGCCAGGAGTGAGGGAGGAAGCAAACAATGACAAACATCCACACAACACCAGACTAGCATTTCGACCACAATCCCACCACACGCCATTAGAGGTGTTTGGAAGACTAGCAAGATGCAACGCGTGCAAAACAAAAACTTCCCTTGATGGGTCTCCTGAAACCCTTTGACCTATCCGAGCATGCTCCAGGGTCTCAATGTGGCTGCGGCGGGCGCTGATATCGAACTCTACATGGAATGAGAACGAGAGATGGGCGCTGGTGACTACGGCGCCCCATCCTAGGACTTCCACGCCTCCGCAATGAAGAGCACTCCGGAACTTCACGTCGTGGAGAAGCGACGCTGACCATATCGTTGTGAAACAGAACAGGCCCACTCCTAGTAAATCAAGTGCGTCATAAGTGAAAAGGAACGGCGAAACCATTTGGCAAGTTCCCTATTATAAGTGTGATCTAATATCTGTAGTTAGACCAGCTTAACATGTTCCTAAGACGCCTTCATGTTCCTGGACGTTTGAAATGAATGAATAATCCGAGACCTTTCCAACCTTTGAGCTCCACTGCCGCCTCATCAGAGTTGGACCAAATCCACCAGAAAATCCTTGTTGCCGCATCCAAGCAACCGACTAACACATTCATGTGCTGCGCCTAGGTGTGATGCCAAAGGTCTTTCAATAATTATCGTCCGTGTTTAATGTGAAGAGGAAGAAACTCTAGCGCTTCTGCGTGCCAGAGTCGCCAAGCCCCACAATATTGACAAAATCGGCAGCCAAGAAATCGCAGCGGCGACAAGACAGCCAGAAACTATTTACAACCCTCTTGGAGCACGGAGACTACAACGGATGAAAGCAGCCAAGAAGGATCGAAAAAAGTCACGGTGCACGACAGAAGCGTCTTCCGAAATGGTGCTCAAACAGAGCTGGAAGACACAGAGCCCAATGAACCAGAGCGCTGCTATTGCAGCTTCAGAGACTTCAGCAGAACGTGACAAACCGGGAAGTGCCGTAGCACCTCCCACCTCGGAAGGGTGCCACCCAACAGATAACCAATAGCCATATATACCAGACGAGAAATGACCGGTGCAGGATGACCTCCAATCGAATCCACTGCGAGGCGCACAGCCAGGTTTGAAGGCACGGCTTTATACGTCAGTTTATATTACCAGAAGTTCCGAGATTGGCTTCCGGTTCTCCTGGCACTTCCAGCGCAAGAGCAGAAGCCGGCTGAAAGCTCCTGGCGGGTTGGGATATGTAAGAAGAAGACGAAGAAGCCTCCCGCACGAGGGGCTAAGTAGACCCAACTATGTCAACAACCGAATGTTCTCAAAGAGTTAAAAAAAGATAGGAATAATGCCGGGTCAGGCATTGACTCGTAAAACAGAAAAGTGTTCGAGCAGGGCAGAGCACTGCACGGCATTGCAGCACAGTTCGGCTTCAGACGTCAGTAAGTGTCAGTGGACGGCCGCAGGGAGAGACAATGTACCTCAGGGGCCTGCAGGCGTAGGAGGGACTCCGTCCATCCGAGTCCCCGACGGGATCAAATCCTCAAGGAAGCACAACCATTCACGGAAGAGGCCGGCAAATCAGCTACAGAATGCCCGAGAGACGAATCGTTTCGTCGCCGTCAGCAGTGCCAGCAGGAGACCGGAGAAGACTGGTCCACCCGCACGCAGCGTGGGAAACGGACGGAGATCGGCTGCGTTTAACATGTCCAATATCTGTCTCCATAAGGCTAGAAGGGGCTCGTGCGCCTCAAGTAATTAATTGCGTTTGCATCATATTGCCTCGTCCCCAAACACCTCTAAACAATAACGAATAGCAAATATAAATTCATGCATACGGAACAAAAGGTAGCGGGTTTCACCGTCTCTGCTGCCTTGTTTGAAATGACGACTTTCCAAGAGACTCTCTCCATTTCATCATCCAATCCACTTTTTTCACTAGCATGATGCAACTCGCTACCGTTTGCTCTGAATGTCAATATTGAGTGTAAGATTTTAAGAAAGCTGAGAGCTTTATAGACATATACTGCCGGAGCCTGGTTCGAGAATACCAACACTGACGAGAACACACACGGCGAAACATCGCGCCGCCATCCGGGGGCCCGCGGGGCGAGGAGACCGCGAGGTGGCGGTCAGTGGCAGGGCCGTGTGTAACTGTGTGCAGGGGATGGCGCTGCTTCGGTCTTAGGGGCGCCTGGACTGTCATGATCATCGACAATATAGATATATCTCAAGAGCAATGCAAATGGTTCAAAGTGCTAAAAAGGGTGCAAACGGAGCAATGCAATGTGTGAGGGTTCATGACCTGGGGAGTGTGTTGAGTTTGAGTACTCGTATGCACTGTTCAACAGCCAGTCGCAAGAGATACGCTCCGAGACTTTTGCACTGTGATGCGTGCGGATCAGTAATACATATTTACTTTCGATGGATGCCATACATTTAATGGGATAATTTGAATATCGACAATTGGACAGCTTGAGCTAAGAACGCTGTCAGAGGACATCGCGCTGCCCGACAGGAGGCGGTGTGTAGCGACTTGTGGTGATCGGCGACAGTTTGCTTTAGCTCGGTGTGCCGACGCGGTAATTAGACACGCCGCTGTGCGGTCTGTGACAGCAGAGACCGCCCGGGGCCCCCGGATGGCACGGGTACAGTGACAAACCGCCCAGAGGCCACCAGAGGTCACAGTGCGGCCCTCCGCGGCGGCACGGGGCCACCAGGGGGACGGCACGGGGCCACCAGGGGACGGCACGGGGCCACCAGGGGACGGCACGGCAGGCGTCCGGCACATCGGGAAATATTACAACGATTAGTTTATAGAAAATATTGATTTTAAACTCAGTGATAGCCTTGCGCTTGACACAAGACAAATTTAATTTACCTTAAGTATTTACCTTAAGTAAAGGTCATTAGGTACCCTTTCGAGTAATCAGACCCTTAATAATAAGGACACTTCCTTCTCAATAAATTGAAACAAACCGATATGCAAGACGATGTAGTTAAACGTTAATCAAAATGCAAAGAAATGCAAATATACAAAAAGGATGCACCAACAATACTGGCCATGTTAGAAGTTAAACAGCATTCGCTTTTCACAAAATAAGCACAAAAAAAGATTATTGATTGTTTACTTATCAACAAAAAATAATGCATTTAACCACACTGAGCATTTCACATAATACCGTTTATTTATTTATTTATTTATTCAAATAAATCGCCAACAGGCTCATGGCCCATTAACAGATAACCGTTGCTCTATCACTGCTTTGTGGTTGGTTCCAAGAGAAGCTCGGAATTTATATAAGGTGACATTTTCTACCGTCTCCATCCGGTGCCGCTGGCGCTGTGTCTCGGCCCCTGTGACCCCTGGACTGCCTGTGACCTCTGGGTGACCTCTGAGCGCCCTCTGAGCTCTGCGGGTACTCACCCTGCATGCTGCGCTCGGCCGACAGTCCGCCCGACGGACCCGCCTCGCCTGTAGGGATGGGAAACCGGTCAGAAATGGTGACACTAACACTACACAGTGCAGACAGAGAGAGGTCGGACAGACCCGCCTCGCCTGTAGGAGGACAGAGGCCTGTTACACGGGGCGACACTGACACTACACAATACAGACAGGGAGCCGTCGGTTGGGGATATTGACGATCCTGCTCTCCCCAGCTCCCAGTGACTGAGCACGCTGTTTTACTCGCTCCCACAGAGCCCCACTGGTGTTGATAGCCCTAACTGTCCCCGCGGTCCGACCCAGTCCGCCGTCTATAACTGACCGAGCGAGTCGTCGGCGGTGAGGGAGGCCAGCTCGGCGTCCGAACCGTCGTACACCACCCGGCCCAGCGCCGCCTCCAGGCTGGGGTCATCCTCCGTCTTGGCCAGGTCGGCCTCCACCTGTCAGAGGGGACAGGGACAGTCAGTGACACAGACTGGGGTCAGTACGGACACAGACTGGGGTCGTCCTCCGTCTTGGCCAGGTCGGCCTCCACCTGTCAGAGGGGGCAGGGACAGTCAGTGACACAGACTGGGGTCAGTGCGGACACAGAGCGGTCAGCACAGACACAGGGCGGTCAGCACAGACACAGGGCGGTCAGCACAGACACAGGGCGGTCAGCACAGACACAGGGCGGTCAGCACAGACACAGGGCAGTCAGGGACGCAGAACGGTAAGTAGATACAGGGCGTCCCCTCCACCTGGCGGTACGGGGATACAGCAGTCAGCAGAAGGCACACACGGACGCAGCGATAGAGCCGGGACAGGGCGGACTGACTGGGCGCCCGGACTACAGTGGTCATCGGGCGACCGCGGCCACTGAACTTGACTGAAGGACGATGGACAGCGCAGGGGGCACTCGGGACGCAGGGCGACGGTGATGGCGAGGAGGGACGGAGCGACTGGTCACTTGAGTCAGCTCCTACTGGAGGCTGATGAGGCTGAGTTGTCTGCCATCAAAACGCAACGAGAACTAGCAATTGAGCTGTTCACGAGGAGGAGATAAAAGCCGCAGATGCAAACATTCCTAGCCTACAGCAACATAAAACTCGACGAAACATTACGGGATAAGAACAAAGTTTAAGTCCAGCAAACACCACTGCATACGATCTGTTCAATAACCCAGAACCCACACTGTCAAGCTTGACTTTGTGCTGGGCAATGCTGTAAAATCGTAACTCGATAACACAGATATCTAGAAATGGCGCACCTAGGTAGAAACCGCCTACTTAACAAACACCCCACAGTGATAACCGTGCTTTGGCGCCGATCCTCACAGATCTGATAGAGCAGCCGGGACCACACTACCGACTACACTAGTCCGTGGAGACCTCTGCGTACCATCGGAGCTCCCACCAGCACCACTGCAGCTAGGAGAGGTCCGCCACACCATCTGTAGAATATCAGCCTACCTTCACATTGAAGGGCGAGGTCCGTCAGTAGAGCGCCGGCCTACCTTCACATTGACAGGCGAGTGGTCCGTCAGTAGAGCGCCGGCCTACCTTCACATTGACGGGCGAGTGGTCCGTCAGTAGAGCGCCGGCCTACCTTCACATTGACGGGCGAGTGGTCCGTCAGTAGAGCGCCGGCCTACCTTCACATTGACGGGCGAGTGTCCGCCGGCCTACCTTCACATTGACGGGCGAGTGATCCGACACGGTGATCTCGTCCGGCTGGCTCGGAGGCGGCGGCGGCGGCGGCTGGGACCGCGGCACCGGCGGCGGACCGACCGGGGCGGGAGCAGCAGACTCGGGCGGTGAGCCCGAGCGGCGGCGGCGTTTGGCCGGCGGCGAGCGGGGCCGCTCGGGCGGCGCGGCCGGCGGCGGCCGCCGGTCCGCTGCGGGCGCTCCGCCCGACACAGGGCCCTGCGCAGAGGGCAGACAGGCAGAGGTCAGAACTGGCCGGCTCGCACAGGCTGCAGAATAGGATAGTCTGTGGTTCAGTGGAAAGAAAGGGGTGATGCCTGTACTGCTGTTGCAATTATAGAGAGAGAGAGAGAGAGAGAGAGAGCGAGAGAGAGAGAGAGAGAGAGAGAGAGAGAGAGAGAGAGAGAGAGAGAGAGAGAGAGAGAGAGAGAGAGAGAGAGAGAGAGAGAGAGAGAGAGAGAGAGAGAGAGAGAGAGAGAGAGAGAGAGAGAGAGAGAGAGAGAGAGAGAGAGAGAGAGAGAGAGAGAGAGAGAGAGAGAGAGAGAGAGAGAGAGAGAGAGAGAGAGAGAGAGAGAGAGAGAGAGAGAGAGAGAGAGAGAGAGAGAGAGAGAGAGAGAGAGAGAGAGAGAGAGAGAGAGAGAGAGAGAGAGAGAGAGAGAGAGAGAGAGAGAGAGAGAGAGAGAGAGAGAGAGAGAGAGAGAGAGAGAGAGAGAGAGAGAGAGAGAGAGAGAGAGAGAGAGAGAGAGAGAGAGAGAGAGAGAGAGAGAGAGAGAGAGAGAGAGAGAGAGAGAGAGAGAGAGAGAGAGAGAGAGAGAGAGAGAGAGAGAGAGAGAGAGAGAGAGAGAGAGAGAGAGAGAGAGAGAGAGAGAGAGAGAGAGAGAGAGAGAGAGAGAGAACTTTGTATTTACAGACACTTAGTCCAATGCTACATAACATGAAGATTCATGGCACTCCCAGAGGATCATTCCATGCCGCTCTTAGCGGTGATCGCCGGCGTATGTCACTGTCAACCAGGACATTGATGATCGCGTTGGTGGATGCATCTAAACGCTGCATGAAACCCCATGCTGCTTTTCGGTACATCACGTCAAAATTATCTAATCCTTCACACACATGCATAGACGAAGCGCTACAGAACCTGGAGTAGCCAAATAATATTCTGACAGCATTGTTAAGACACACTTTGAATTTTCTTATAACCGCAGCACTATAAGCACGCCACAAGTGAACACAGTACACAGAAGCACAGTAGGTCGTGAATAAATACTTTTTCACAGCATACGTACACATGCCAAATTTGCGAATGAGCGAATTGGTTCTACAGCACAGCATACGATATTGCTGCTGAATCTCAAGATCATCACGCACATTGTCAGTCATGAAGTAACCAAGATATTTGTACTCACTTACAACTCTTAATATTGTGCCACAAAGAGACAGCTCAGGAGTTTTAAGATTTTTCAAAGCCTTTGGACGCATAATCAAGCATACAGTTTTCTTTGTGTTGTACTTGATATCATACTCCTCTGCAAATCGTTCGCAATAGGAATAGCACAAATTCCATCTCGAGAAGTAAGCATCGTCAACGCTATCTGCATTGCAAATCAAAGCCGTCTATCATGCTTCAAATCATGCCATACTCTTTTTTCCTTGCAATTTCGTTATACCAGACCTTTCAAATTAATAACGCTACATTTGGTTAATTTCTCCTGTATTAGAGTCCCACCCCAAGCCACCATCCCTCTCACGACCGATGGCCGTTCCTCCCCCGTCCCTACCCGGACCGTCACCGTCCCCGGGGCCGGGTGTCAGTCTCGTCCCCGGGACGGGTGTCCGTCTCACCGCGGCGCCGTCCTCGTCCTCGCCGCTGAGCCCCCGGATCTGCAGCATCTCAGCCGTCTTGATGAAGCTGGCCAGCTGGCCCTGTGCCACGTTCACCTCCCCGTTGTACACAAACTCGATCACGGCGCGCAGGTCCTCTGCGGAGGTGTCCTTCAGGAAAAACACCGGGTGCTGGCACGGGTTCTCCTGTAGATGGGGAGGTATGGGGGATCAGAGGACCGCACCGGGTGCTGACACGGGTTCTCCTGCAGAGTGGGAGGTACAGATGGTCAGGGGACCGCTACCTACCAACATTAGGTGCTGGTACAGGCTCTCCTGCAAAGGAAATATGGATGGTCACTGGTCAGGGGACAGCTATCAACCAGCACAGGGTGTTGGCACAGGTTCTCCTGAGAGAGAAATGAGGCGTGACATCAGAGTGGAATGAGACAGCTAGGGTGCTGACTGCTGTATAAGTCTGTACTGGATATAATGGATTTGGACACTTGCATCTTGTGAGCATTGCAATCTGCAAGCATCCATGCTTAGGTACCTTAACCCTCGCATGTGTAGGGGGGGGGGGGGGTCGGATGGACCCCCCCCCATGGTTTTTCGCGAATAACTCGCGTAAAAAGCGGCCGATCGCGACGAAACTTTCAGTACCCTCGCATTGATCAATTTGACATCTACCCTGAAAATCTCATGACCCTGACCCAAATGACCTTTGACCTGTGACCTCTTTTCCGAGACCATGTTTGGCCGGAATCGCGATTTCGCGTATGTCGGCTCGCACTAGCCGCGTGTTTGCAAGCTTTTCGTGGTTTCAAACGTTCAAACATGTGATTTGATGTTACTCCCGTGTGTGTCAAGGTCACCTGAAGGTCAGGTCATTGACCTTTGGTGACCTCGGGTGACCTCGGGTCACTTTTTCGAGTTTTACATGTTTCTAGGCTAGTTTTTGGAGCTGAATTTGAATTTAGCAACCATTTGAACATTTACGAAGTAGTTTTGGTGATTTCGTAACATGTTACGAAGCTGTCAGAGGCGGTTGACACGTACTACGAATACCCGTCACGACGCCTACTGGTTGACCTGACCTGACCTGACTCGACCTGGTCTAAATTCTTCAAGACATCATCTGTGATCAAAACTAACACGATATTCGTGATCAGCACCCCGAAAAACCCCTTAGCAGCCACACTTTACGACTTTCTAACAGGTCCCGATTTTCCCGACTTTGGGTCATTGACCTGACCTGGAAGGTCAACCAATGACCTAGGACATTAAAATTGGGTATCATCGGCTTCCTCTCGTGACGGGCAACACGCTCGTTTTTTCCGCGAAGCTCTAGCTCGATCAGGGGCCAAACGGCAAGGGGGGTCCAACCGACCCCCCCCCCCTACACATTAGAAGCTGGCAAACGCCGCACACATGCGAGGGTTAAGACAAGTATAGCCAGACAGGAAGGATATTGGCAGAACGAGGCTATCTGTGCACCTAAGCAAAGACAAAATATGCATAGAATGACACTCCAAACAAGGTACCTACCTACCTACAGAAACACATACCTACATCTTAAATGCCACCATTGCCTCTGCATTTTGCAACAAGACACTTGACAGACATCGGCTGGAGAAACTTGCCAAAGATCTCCAAAACAATTTGCATTGTCATTTACAACATTCTGAAGAATCCCACTCAGGGGTGAAGATCTGTCAAAATGTCAGGGGTCCAGGCCGGGCAGATTGAGGCGGGCTGGATGCAGTACCATTGACTTACATAGCAGTAATTCATTTTCAGGGGGGTCCTGACCCCCCGACCCCTCCCCCCGAGATCTCC